AAGAGCCCCACAGCCCTCCCAGTCTTTGCAAGATTGGCGAGGCTGCCCCATGTACCAACCCCTTAGTGCTGTCCGCATCTCATGCAGGTTGCAGAGACCTCTTGCATGCAGTTCCTATTCCCTTCCCTCCTCCACTCCATATTTAGCAATTTAAGGCTTTGTGCGACGGCTTACACGTGCATCACGATTTGTTTGCAATGAGTGCGCAACAGTGGATCCCAATCTAGTTTAGTCCACGCCAGCCATCAAGGCTTCCCAGGCAGCCAGACAGAATCCAAGGGACTGAAATGATGTTCAGCATTTAGGATTAAAATTATCAGGCATAAATCTCACTCCCTCTGGTTTCTCCCAAGTGCCTGCCATTTTGTTCCAGCTTTAGAGCTTCTAAACTTGCAGAAGAGAGGTATGCAAGACATGGGGATAGTTTTCCCCAACACTGTTTGCCATTATTTGCTAAAATGTCATGGCGATGGGAAGTTTGCTGTAAAATGGAGACTGAAAGCAATATTTCTGAGTGTATCAAACTGCAATCACAGTGTGTTACAAGAGTTTCTAGTGCTTTGGAAAAGGGGGCTGATCTTTTCTATACATGGAATTAATTGCGGCCAGGGGCACAGTGGCAGAGCAGTGAAGGCATCTTGTTATGGCCCTGGAGGCATGAGTGGAAGCCCTACTCCAGGCTCATGCCAAAGCTGACCTGGGTGTAAGTGGGTACCTGATCATTCAGGTTGGGAAGTCAAAGTTAACCAGACATAATGCTGGCCCCATTACTCTTGTGTGCTGTTAGCTAAGACTTTGGTGTGCTTTAACTACAATAGCCTAACAGGTTGCTAGGCTCAGATGGACCTTCATCCAATCAGCTATGCATCCAATTCTTCCACCCAATTGTACCATGTTATTAAATGCATTTCTTTTCTTTTAGAAGTGTTTTAGGAGGCTGGCGTGGGACACGAATGAGAAGTTAATGATGTACAGAAATGATTACATCCCCATTGTGTTGTATGGGTCAGAGAGTCTGGTTTTAACAAAGATGGATTTCAGCTGGTTGCAAACTGCAACACTGAGTTTTAAAGGCAACCATTGGGACGCTGAGAAGAGACTGAGCAAGAGATAACTGTAGCAGCTGTAGGAAGTGAGCTGAAAGATGCAAGTATAGAAAGAGGAAGATGAACTGAACATGCAAAAAGGATGCATGAAATTGTGGAATGAGACAAGGTAGCAATGAGGTGTACAGAAGGCAAGCACCCAGAGGGGAGACCACATAACGTATGAGAAGAGGAGGTATGGAAGGACACAGCTGCAAGAGGTGGGTCCTGGAGGAAACTACAATGGAAACCTGAAAAAGAGTTGGATGGAGTCAGCAGCCTGCCAAACCACCCACTCGACAACTGATCACAACACCGACAGCACGTTCTCATGCTTTACAGTCTGTGTGGGCCCTTCCAGACGCAGGCACACCTGGATCAGACACAGCGAAGGGGAAGTCAACCAGGGAAGATTAGTGGTAAAAATTCAACAAGCAATTGCGCTTCTTGTGAGATGCAATACACACACACCAAGGACTTTTTGCAACAAAAGGTACTGCTTTTCCTGCGTCCCAACCACCATGGAGCTGAGTGTCCAGCATTGCACCCTCATGCTCTGCATGTACAGTATTTTGAACTGAAATCACCACTCCCAGCAACTTGCTAAAGGCAGATTTAAGAAGAACCTCTTAGTTTTTGAATGCTGTAACATGTAGCCACCTACAACTAGATGTATTGATTCCTGTATTTTTAAATTGGCCTGGCCTTTTTGTCAGTGCAAATAGCTGAGGATGCTGTTATTAACAGGCACAAACACCCTCATAAGGACATCCAAGCACCTCACTGTGGCTGGCAACCAGGTCCTTAAAAAGTATTTAAACAACTGCACCAGCATTCATGTGAACACAATAAGGAGACCCAGCTGGGGACGAGTATTTGGCACACCGTGACTTTTGACTATGATTTTTTTTCTCTGACCAGAGAGGCACTCTCAAACAGAAGGATTCTGTTTATTTCCAGGACATAAAAGGGGAAAATGCTCATTATTTTTCCTTTAACTTTTTTCAGAAATAAAAAAAACAACCAATTGTAACATGGAAAAAAAAATTCTCACCACATAAGAACTCTTCAAATATTTCATCAGCTCCTTGGATTTCTGGATAAAAACACTTAACTTTTTAAAAGGAACGTGGAACAACTAACTCATCTACCCCTGAGGTCACTGAATGTTTCACACCAGCAGTAACTAATTCTTCAGTGCTTCATGTCATCCTGCCGTGTTCATTGGAAAGCTCAGTGCTTCTAAGGATCACATCCTGTCTCCAGATGCTGGTACGCAGCCCCCCCATCACAAGGCAATGGGGGTTGTTAGAGAGGACAGCATGTAGCTCCCAGGCAGAGTCCAATCCAACTTCTAGACAAGGCAACAGGAACTTTCTTCCATTCCCTTCCATGGAGTTGGACCAGCCCTTAATTAAGTTTTGAAGGCTGCGTACTTCTTTGGTCAGGCAAAAGGAGAAGACTTTAGCAGCGGTTCACTGCTGTTGGAACAATTGCTGCGGCTGTAAAAGATAAGTCTCCATCCAGATGCAGGGCGGGGGGGAATGCCGCGTCCACCTCTCTCTGTCTCTCTCAAGTTTGGGTTATTCAACTCGCCTGCAGTTCTAAGCATGACTTGCCATTCAGACAGGCTTTTTGTTTCCCGTGCTTTTTTTGATTTCTAGATCTGGGGGAGGAAATAGCCAAAAGAAATGGGTTCTGTGGCCTTGGCTACTGCTGTGTCAGCATGGCTGCTTACAGCGTGTGTGTCATCTTAAGAGAGCATCGTTAGTTCACAGATGCATGGCTTGTCCTACAGCATGCCCATGTGCTGTGTTTAGCGTTGCTGCATTTGCAGTATCCTGAGAGGACCTCTTTCTGTCAAATTAATAACCTCTTCTGGTTTCCATTTAAAGATGCAACCATTCTCCATATGTTTGTAGGACAGTAACATAGGAGGATCAAAGGGGGCATTCTGTGAAACAAAAAGGAAAAATGCACATTTACTTTAACCGTTACACTTCCAAAAGCAAAAGGGCTCTTTTTGTTATTTTAGGAGAATCATGTATTAGGATTTGCTAGGAGAATAAAAGGAATGATTAGACCACGATAAAAATGCCAAATTGTATTGATAACAAGGAGGAGTATGACGAATGAATCTGCATGGCTTTCAGCTCAGCGATATCATGCGCCAGGCTGTTTTGAGAAGTGATAACATCTTATTTGATTATGGGCAAGAGAAATGGTACAAAGTCTCACAATTAGCAGACACTACAAAAAGGCAAGAAGAAATTAGGCCATTTTCTGCCTGCATTTGTTACTGCTGTCTTATGCAGTCCTGCGTGCGTGGCAGTTCCAGGTGAAGGAGGTCAGTACGGGGCAGAAAATCTTGCTTGCCAATGTATATACAACCTGGGAAATGGAAAATTTGGGGAACCATATGTCATTCTTTCCAGATGGGAAAAAAAAATCACCATGGAGCTGTTGCTGCCTGGGATCGCTGCATTATGGGACCCTTCTGCAGACAGATCTGAGTGACTAGGTAGCTGAATCAGAGCCTCCTGGGATCTGAATCCGTGGTTTCAAGGACCTGTGATATTATTACCGCTATGCTTAGTGCAAACCCTGAGGCAAACAGGATGCTGAGGCCACCAAGCCACTGCTGGAGAGATGGGCATCTACTAGTGGGGCAGGAAAACCCCAACTGGATGCATGTTATCCCTGCTTCTGTGCACCTGTGCTGAACATGGGCTGGGTGGAAAGCGTATTTTTCAAGTATTCATAGAAGAATTTCACGGGGAATTTCTGGAGCAGAAATGGACCCTTTTTCTCAAGGGAGGCACAAGAGCACAGCAGTTTTCTGGACCAGCTGGCAACAAGGCTCAATAGGCTCCTGGGCCCAGAGCTGACACAGGGAAACCCTGCCTAGACAAGGTGAGTCTTGGTTGCACTAAAGGACAAAAAACAAAAAAAGGCTGCAACAGAGCCAAATAAATCGTTCTGCTAGAAAACAACAGCATACAGCACCATCTAATGTTTAGCAGGCTGTAAAACAATCGGGGAGTGAAATGGCATGTGATGTGCTTATTTGAAGTGATGCTCAGGCCTCGGTTGAATTAGGGCACTGTCTAAAACCCTCAGTTTCCAGCAGGCCAATGGAAGCATCCTCAGTTCATGAAGAGGAACCTCCCACGTTGAAACACAGGTCCTAGCTGATGCTGAAAACTGCAGTCCTTGCTTCACTGCAAAATTCAGTGCAAAGGAACTGTGGGATCCATATGTGGGATCAATATGTGAGACTATGTAAACCCGGAGATGCACATTGGTGGGGTGGGGACGACTGGGCTTTCTATCTGGCACTAACCTGGCTAAATGCCTTCCCTCCCTGGCAAATTCAGGCATTTGAGACATGAAATGCTGAGAACAAGGCTGTGGTTCCACATGCCCGGCACTGCAGAGCCAGGTAATATTTTGCCCAAAAGGTTGAGATGTGCATTCAATTTGGCATTTTTATCTCCTTCTAAGAACTACAATGTTTTGGCTGGTTAATGAGTGTGTTTCAGAAAAATCAAACGTGGTCTAAGAAATTGTGTGTGCACATATATGCACACACAGACACGGACAAATGTACCATGCATTATATGGATAATACATATACCGCATGTTTAGTTTCAGTTTGAGTCGCATGAATTGGAACTTATTTAATTCTGACAGAAGAGCATGCATTAATAACCCCCCGGAAATTTAAAAAACCCCTTCATTACCACCTTGATGCAATCCTGGTATACTTTTAATAATTGGGATCTGAGCACTTCAATACAAATACAGTAGTTTTAGCTTTTTATGACCGCTGCCGGCATGATACCCTGATAATATTTGCAGTCTCAGCTTAATATTTCCCCCAAAATAAACGTGTAATAATAAGTGCCACCTCTACTGTATATTCCCATTTTGCTATAGCTGAATGTTTTCGCTTTCTGGAATCCCCCCAGCTCAGAGGTCCTGATAAAGGTCTTATAACATCTCCCAAATTAAAATGTATGCCAAGCATTGCATCTTTATACTTTGCAGACAGGTGTCCCACACCAGCTGTTAAGAAGATGATAAGAACCGTATTTTAATTGATTGGCGGGGAAGGGAGTTTGGTTAATCTGAACCTTTAAAGCCACCCTAAGGCCAGGGTACCTGTTACAATACATTAGACTCATCTGAGAACGTTCTTAAAAGAAGAGGTCTGACAGAAGGTCGGGGCGACAATGAATCAGATGCCTTCCTACTGTTCTGTAATAGTGAGGCAAAAATACTTAAAGAAGGTGAGAAACTAAGATCCCCAGTGATGTAATAATAAACTACTTATATCATTCTTTTAAGGTAACTTCCAGCATGAAAAGACACGTTATAAACGCCAGGATTAAGCTGACCATTTTTTTTTTTGGAAGAGCACCACTAGTTTCAGGCAGTGTCAATACATCAAATTAGGGGTTCTCAGCAACTCTGAAATTCATCCCACTTGTTCAAAAGTCCCATTATAGGCACCCAAATTTGACAAGAGGAAGAATCCACCCTCCCCTGCTCCTGACTACTGTAGACACTGAGAAATGCTGAAAGTACGTGGCCAGCACAGCTAGGTGACAGTGGGACCACTAGGGTTTGCATAAACTGTTCATGCTGGAGTTTCAGGAGTAAACCATACCTTTCCCATGGCAAACAGCTGTAATTGAGAAGTGTAATTAGTGCAGTGAGTTCTGACAGTGATTTCTGCTGTAGAGATAAATAGCAAATGTTCTTTATTGTGATATTACCCTACGTTGTTTTATTAGGGAGTAAAGTGTATGCAAGAAGCCACTGCTAACCTCTGGGCTTAACAAGTTTGAGATGCATTATTTACTACAAAAATCAAATGAAGTTGCTTGTTGTTTCCATGGGTCAGAGAAATCTTTACTTGATGCACTAACAAACAGACCAGAAGAGGGGAAGACTGGGCTATCTAAAGAAACTGAGATTCTTACCAAGGGTGCAAGTTTTTGGAGCTACATTGATTTCCACAGAGCTACACAACTTACCGTATGTTAGCTAAGAGTCTGGTCTAAGAGGCAGACTGCAGTTCTCCGAGGTTGGATCTTGTCTTAGCACCAGCATGTGGTTGGATATTTAGATAATGGCAGCCCCTTCAGGTCACTACTAAAATGGAACTAGCTGGACTTAATTTGATTTGTGGCATGTACGGGATAATTTGGATAAGGATGATGCTGCCTCAGGCAGGGGGTTGGACTAGATGACCTCTGGAGGTCCCTTCCAGCCCTACTTCTCTCTGATTCTCTAGTTGAATGTTTGACCAGCAGAGTTGCAAAACCAAAACAGATGAAGGGGGTGACGAAATACACTTAAATAAAAAAAAATATTGTTAAAAAAAAGTAAAGCATTTGCTGCATCAGCAGATCAAAATATACAAATGATCAGCCATTATGCCTTATGAAAAGGAAATGAAAGCAGGAGAGGCAACATGTACAATTAAGAAAGGGAATCACCTTATTCACTCCAAGAAAAGGTGTGATTGCTGGAAGTTTGAGAGAGCATGAAGATAGTGGATGTTCCTGAGGAAGGAAGGCGTTTCGTTACCTAGTTCACAACAGCACAAAAAAGATAGGAAATTGCAGGAGAACAGAGAGAAATGCAGAAACCAAGGAAAATACGAACACACTTTGCATTGCAAAAATATTTCCACATAGAGACATAAAGCTCAAGCAGGCAGAGAGCAGCTAAAGAGAAATGCTATACAAGAGCAATATTTTAGAAGAGAAACCAGAACTTACAGAAGGCCAGAGCCTTGAGACATGAAGTGTGCTGAGGCCAGCGGTCTGTTCTCCTTCCCCCACCCACCCCTCCGGCCCTCCTGCCTTCTCAACTGCCTGCACAGACACCTGAGAGAGCAGAGGCCAGGCAGTATCATGGTGTAGAAAATGTTCTGGAAATCCTACTTCTCTAGACTAGCAATGGAGTTTGCTGCTACCGGGAGAAACGTCACATTTTTTTCCTGCTGTAGCTCATATCCAGAGGACAAAATAAATGCTGATTTTGGTGACAAAAAAGAATGGGGGTCAGTTCTCTTCTCCCCTCCCAGCAGCAGCAAACTTCAGTGCTGCTCTATAAAACCGATGGCCAACACGCCTTGTACTGTATGGCAATTGCTGCCTGCACTGGCTTTTTCCTGCTGCCAAAGCAAGGTAGGCAGCAACAGCTTTGGGGGTCAAGCCTTCCCTGCCCACCATGCCATCTTCCTGGTGCTTCTCCCAAGGTGGCACATCCAGGGCGTGTGCAACGCTCACCCACCTCACATTACGATACTGCTACAGCCAGTTCTTGTCAACTCCAGGGGGTCTGGATTTCAACTGTACTTTCTCAAAAGGAGACACAGCAACCAGCAGTGCTGGCCCTGAAGACTTTTCTCACATTCTGGAAGTGTGAGCACCTAAATGCACGGCTCAGTTTTGACTTCCCAAGGAGGTAAGGGCATCCCTCTCTGAATGGGAACTGGGGCCCTGACTCCCTTTAGTTCCTTTGAAAAAGAAATCCAGCCCTTGTTTTCAACTGGAATGAGTTGAGCCCTTTAAGAAAAAGGCTATTTCCTTAGTGTTTGGTCGGGGATACAGACCTATGGCTCCCAGCATCCAGTTCTGACCTGCTGACCTAGGATTATAAAACAGCAATTTGAAAAGAGACATCGTATGTTCAGCGTATGCAAAAACGTACAGTATGCTGTATGCATGCAGCACACTGTAGCTCAGCTGAAAAACCACACCAATGGTTTTCTTTTTTATTTCTCTAAAAGCATCCCCAGCAGCCAAAGCCATAGGCAGGAAAGGTTGTCTGCTCAGCAGTGCGAGGCAAGATAGGCCAGTTCCCAGGTGAACGGCCAATTTGTAATCCAGTCTTTATAACTACTTGATAATTTCTTTCCTGTACCTGCTTCACACCAGCAGTCTGGATCCTGATGGATCTGAGAGCTTTAATGAGAATCACCAAACTTGTGTGCTGGAAGTTAAGTGTCTTCCCCAACTAGGGGAGCAGCAAGGGTCATATGCCATTGATATGGTGATCGATGACAGCACTCCCAATGACTTTAATGAGGGGAAGTTTGCACCAACCAAAGACTGGTTAAGGACATGCCTTTCACATGAAGGGTGAGCATCTTAATGACAGACTTTTGGGGCAAGGTGGAAAGCCAGAACGTATCAACCCCATCCACTCAGAAAATAAATCTTGGGTGTCAAACTGCTGATCTATCAGATGCTGTTGTCTAAATTCACAGAAAGGCCCGAATCTTGCCGCTGCTGAAGCCAGCAATGGTTTTGCAATGGACTCCAAAGTGAATTTGGTAGACAGAGAACTTTTTTTTTTAAATAACTGGAATTGTCACGTTACATTTCTCCTTTCCCAGCCTTGACGATATCAAACGTTACTTCAACTCCATTGCCAGACCTTTCTTTCCTGCTCAGCTTGAATCTCAAAAAACCATTAAGCTATTTTTTTGATCATCGAAAACAAAAATGGATCAGGAAAGAAAAATATCAAACTTAGCGACTCTGAATAATTTGGCCACACTTGATAAAATTCAGGAAACTTCCAAAGGGAGGTTTTTCTTTTTAAAAGAAGAAAAGCCATAAGTGGTAGAGGGTTAGAAATTGTCTGATAGACAGTGATTCAAGAAGTGTTCATGGCATATAAAGCTAAAACAGGAATGAATAAATGGTTTGACTAATTTCATTTTTGCACGTATGTATATATTACTCTACTTCGGTGGTTCTCAACCTGGGGGCCATATGCGACCCAATCAGCACACTGCTGTGGCCCATGTGACATCCTGTTAAATGGGTACACCAGAAGTAAGTTGTGTGGGTGCAGCCCATTGAGCCCAATTGCAAATAGGTTAAGAACCACCGCTCTACTGGTATTCTGTCAAAGTCATCCATCAAAAGGCTTTGGAGAAATATCTTGAGGTCCGAGGTTCTCCTTAATTTCCAGTTAAATATCCATTTTTGGCCAAAATACAGAAGACGGAGAGTACAAGTTGTTCCAGATGAAGAAAGTGCCTGAGGCTTACAGTAGAACCAAAACAGTTTGCTACGGCACTATGAGAAAAGTCATCCCCCTCTTAAATTTACTAAGTAATTTAACATTTTCATTGAACATAAATTCCTAGTTAACTTAGTGTCATTGAAGGCATGAATGATTATAGCAAACCTATGCTACACCCTGTGGGTCAGGTATTACCTAGGAAAATAGAAAGCAATGATCAGAATGAGAATCAGTGGTGGCGTGCCACTCCTAAGCCTGCTGCAGACTTGATGTTGAATGTAAAGCATTAATATACCCTCTGAAAAGCAATGTACCAGAGGAGGGAGGAGTGTGGCAAGTCAGGCTGCAGGACGGCAGCGGGGAGTTAGCAGTGCTAGTAACCAAGGAGGAGAACGGGGGAGGCTCAGATGGGATGATGCCAAGACGGTTGTAACAACCTGCCAGGGAACGTAAGTCTGTACTTCACATGATCAAATGCCACCTTGCATGCATGTTGTAACCCTAGGTGTACTGGCACTGAGGATGGGAGGCAAGGAAGGCAAAGGTGAATGGGCATCTAACATAAGCTCACGCTTATAGGGGACAATTGCCACGTTGCACATCTCCTCCCGTATTTCTTCCCTATTCTGTCACAGAGAGGCTTCAGGAGGATGGCTGGTCCCTCTAAAGGAAAAGCCAGTGTTTTCCCTGAAGAGGCAGTGGGTACATACAAAGAGGAAGGCTAGCTTGAGGGTGCTAGCTTGGGTCTGTACTGGATTCCTATGCCGTTGTGCTACAGGCGTCCTTCATGACCCTTGCTAAATCATTTAACCCCTGCCCCTTGGGATACAATGTGGGGAACAGTATCACTTCCTCTCCGGTGATGATCATCACGTTAATGACTGTGAGTTGTTCAGCGACTGTGGTGATGGGGGGCTCTAGGAGAAGTCTATTCTCACCGACTCTGAGCTAGCTGTCAAGGCCATGGGCAGCCTGGCAAACGGAGAGCGAGAATTTAATCGGCTCGCCCACAACATATCTGCCTCGACTCTATTGAAGGGAACAAGGAAGGCGATAGAAAAACACTGATGATCTCACCCATCAAAATAAAAAGCCAGGCTCAGATCCAAGATCTCACCTCAAGTGACTTTGCGAATAAAACATCTCTGGGCAAAAGTTTGCAAGTTTTGACAGTCAATTAGACTGGCAGTGAAGCTGGACTAGTGACACCGAAAGCAAAATTCAGTCCAATTTGATCTGGACTATAGGGGATTTTGACTTTCTATAAGAGAAAGGTTTTGTGCTCCACAGAACGTCAAAGTCTGAATGAAAAAGCCCTGTACTGAGTCTGCTGCTTAATGCAGATCTGAACAAAACTTTTAGCTACTTTGTTTAGTACATGAAGCGACAACATGCTGAGACTCTCGGAAACTTATACCTGGATATGGAAAGTGCACTTTCACCCTGAGCTTTGTAAGCATGGAAGAAACTCTGCAAGAAAGGAAAGTACATGGTGCATAAGCAGTCCTTACCTGGGCTTTCCTTCTTACATTTTTAAAAACTATTAGAAGAATCTCTGGGAAAAGGCTGATGAAGATCAGGAGGATTATTGCCAGCCAGCTTGATAAAGAAGTCACCATATGTGCAAATACAAAATACATTCTTTGCTGCTTCAGGAAAGGCCTAGAAGAAAAAATAAGAGACAGGTACTTTCAGATATTGCACATGGCTATGGCAGTTTTCCCCTTGGGCAGGTTTCCCAGGAAGGTTCAGACCAGAGGTTTTATAGGACAATATTTCAAATGTGGGTGTATTTACAGCCCCCTTAACACATAAGAGTGCACACAGCCTGACTGCCACGTGTGTGCCCCCGGCTTCTGCTTTCATGTTGCTCCCTCTTCTGCTTCTCCGTCGGCTGCCTGCAAGCTCCTGTGACTTCTCTGACAGCAATTAGCAGCTTCATCCTAGCAAAGGTTCATACCTGCTTCTCTGGTCTCACTGGCAGCTCAGCCCCTGCCTGGCACAGTTGCTCCCTGCTCCTTATGGAGTTTATCTATCTGTGCTTTCCCAGTCTCCTCTTCTCTCTGCCACGACAGCTCCAGTGACTCTTCTTACGCTTTGCTCCCCTCGGCTTACGGGCCTCTCCCCCAGCTAACATAGTGGTTAACTTTCCTCGCTTCAACCAGCTCTCTCAGTTGATGGCTCCTTCTCTCCTGTCTCAAAAGGTGGCTGCTGGCCGTCCCAGCACAAACTCCTGCCCAACTTCCCTCCGCAGCTCCCTGAGCAGGGGGCTGGACTACATGACATTATGATATCCTTTCCAGCCTTCCTTTCCTATCATCGCTCGATCGCATCATTGCCAAATCATTTTGTTGTGAATTAAATTATTTTATTTGGAACTTGAACTCATCTAAAGGTTTTTCTGAGATGTCTTCGGATGATGGAAATCCAGTCGCAGGCATCTTTCTGCCTCCCGCGATGACAGCAGGGAACTGACAGATGCTTGCAGAAGACGGCTGCTAAATAAACGGTGACAAGAATTCTAATGCAGTCGTTGTTTAACATTAGCTCCAAATATTTAACTGTGCACAGTAAACACACCGGGGGAAAATTCAGGCATTTGAATGCAAGGAGATAGCTGGTGAGGTTACAGACCAAATTCGATTGAACTTCTTACAGTCCAGACCAAACAAAGCTCACAGCTCTCCATAAAATGACTCGCGTCATCTCCATTTATTTATTGGCAGGCTCCAGGACCAAACCTAGGGCTCAGGATGCCTTCTCCTTGCCACTTAGAGGGATGAATCTGCAATATGTCAAACACAAAGCTGACAGCCAATAAAGTGTCCTGAATGAAGGCTTGTTTGCTATTTTAAGACATGCTAGCTGAAATCCCGTCTCCTTTGCTATCCATGGCAGCGCTCTCATTTCTGTACGGCCAGAATTTCATGTTCTCTTCTGCTGGCTCCATCCCTTTAGGCATCACATACTACCAACTCCTGCTCCAACTCCAGCTCTTGCTTTCCTCAGGGTGCACTCTACCTCCACTGTATTTTCTCTCTATCTCTCACCTTCTACCCATACAGAATCAGACATATTTACCGGGACACCTGACCATTAAGAAAATGGCTTTAAGATGCCACCAGGGAAGAAGCTAAACCACACTGCTGTTGGACTCCTGCCGTGGTGCTGTCTGCTCAACAGGCTGCATCTTTTGTAGACTTTAGCTAGTGGGTATTTGATCGTTTTGAAGCTACTCTCCCCCATTCTCCTCTGGCTCCTAGAGGCGAAAAATCATCATCCTCTGTCATCTTCCCACTCCGCGGCAGCTGGAGGATAGGAAATCCTCTGAAGACTTAGGAAAAACTAGGCTGGAAGCCCTGTTCACACTTGCAAGGTTCCCTTGCAGCCATGTGGCCTAGAAACTTGTTGCTCTTTCAATGAAAGCTTATTTTCTGGGAAGGGTGACAGTATTAGTCATGGACAGCCCGCAGCCTGCTATAAGCAAGTGCATTTTCCAAGCTGCAGTGAAAAAGTTCCCAGGCTTCATTGTAAATGGATAATGCATCATTGAATTCCCCTCGCACCTGGGGTGTCCCTGGAGGTTAGAAATTATTGCTGTGGAAGCAAAGATTATGGCAGCTGTGCATTTGGAAACACTTTATAAAGAGCTTCATTAGTGGAAATATAGATTTCAATCTCTGTCTGATGCCTTGCGTGGTTTTTTCTGTGCTTCTGTGTTAATATTAACTAGCATTTAATAGTAAAACACATTAATTCAAAAAATCAATCATCTTTCCCCCCCTCCTGCATACTATTTCTGAATGCCTGAAGGAATCAAACTCTGCGGGAGCATTATACACATACAAACACTGCGTGTTCTCCTAAAATATGCACATATATACATATATTGTCATATATCTAAATCAAAACCAAAAAAAGATACTTGCCAAATGACTCCTCCCCAAAAGAACGAGAAAAACACATAGAAGGCCAAGGAGCCCCAGATCACAAAGTGGTTCATCCAAGTCCAGAATCGAGTATCTAGTGCTAACTGCACACACAAAACAATAGTTAAACATAAATCCATAGTTAACAGTTGCAATGCACACGTTGCAGTGCCATGTACGTGATCGACTTGACTTCATCACAGCTGTTCTCATTTCATTTAGGTGTTCAAATGTACTATTCGACCATCTGTTAGCACAGGTCCAGCAATGAAAAACCATGTAGACACCAGTACATGCCAACAAGAGACCTTCCCCAAGAGGTTTTAATTTCCTTTTTCATGATGCTGGCTTGTAAAGTCTTTGGGACTGACTCTGGGAATAAAAAGTGCAATGCTTTTGTGAAGCATTAATGCAGGGGCAGCAGCAAGCTCAAAACACTGAGCATTAGCCTATTCTAATGCGCATTAAAGCATCACTAAAAAAGTACTATTTAGTTAATGCACATTAAAATAGGCTAATCTGAATTAAGCATCGCTTTAAAACCATGCTCTTTAGTTAATGCATATTAGGACAGGCTAATGAGCATTTTCCTAGTACAACAGAGGTACTAGATTTAATGTGCATTAAGTAAAGCACGTTGATGCACATGTGGACGCACCCTCTATTATCTATATTAACCAATCAAATTCCCTGCTTTGTCTTCCCTGCTGTTTAGCCCTGACACATTGCAAGGTTTTTTATAGGGTGCTTTGTGGTGTGTGAGAAGGGTCCAGAGTGGATGAGCTCACAGATCCATTGGGCAAAAGGTTGACTGTGATCAGAGGGGACTGGAGTCGAAGACCCAGGAGACTCCTACCAGCATTATGTTCCCATGTTCATGTTCCCATGTTCATATATATATATCCTACTAGTATTGGGCCAAGACCAACAGGCTGCCAGTAGAGTATGGGTGACCGAGCACACAACACACTAGTCTGGCTACTTGGTAGAGCTTTTGGGACTCTACTACAGTACAACATTTATCTGACTGGGATGTGCCAATATTCCTGCTGGGACTAAATCTCGGAGATTTCTGGCTAGAGGGTCTTGCCCCTCTGCTCAATGTCAGACTAATCACCATATTTGGGGTCAGGAAGGAAATTTTACCATGAGGCCAGATTGGTAAAGTCTGTAGAGATTTTTGCCTTCCTCTGGGTGGGGGGCATAGCCCTCTTCCTTAGATCTCTCAAACTTATTTTAATTACCTTGACAGCAGCAGGACACTGACTGCTGTGGTCCCCGTTTTGCCCGTGGCAGGTTAGGCTGTGTAGCAGGATTGATTGGGTGGTTTTCATAATAGGTTAGACAAGGTTTTGTATGGGATGGTTTGGATAGGAATGATCCTGCCTCAGGCAGGGGTTGAACTAAATGACCTCCAGAGGTCCTATTTAGCCTTACTTATCCATGATTCTCATGTAGTTTTATGCCACACAGCCCCAAGTCATTTAAAGGTGTGTGAGCCAGGATTAATTTAATTTTTTAAGACTGTTTTATGAACCTTGCATTTCCTTTTCTGATAGCCAAGGAAGTGAAGGTATGGAAGGAGAGATGAGACAAGAGAACACACCTAGGCAGATCAGAAAATAGGATAAAAACAGGTATACAATTTACAGAACAGGAACACATATAAACACATTTGCATGCATGCTCTCACACACACACAAAACCAAGTACGAATTACAGCCTGGAATATAAATCATGTGAGCTGCCTTCACAGTAAACACACTACGATGCGTTTAACATAAAAGGAAAAACGGAAGAACACAAACATAAATATATGTGGAAAATGCTACTGGTATCTTAAAAGCATAATCTCATCCTAAAGTGCATGTAGGCTTTTTTAAATGATTATAACAGAATTAGCTTATTGGAAATAAAGGCAAGCTCTCACCTTTAGTGTGACAGTGAAGACTAATATGGTAAAAACAATAGTTCCAAAGGTCCAGTTTCCAAAAACCTGAAAAACATTTTCAATTATCATATGTATCTCTGTGTGGTTTGCTGGAAGAACAAAACTAACTACACAAGCAGTAATGAGGGAGGGGAGTGGAAATTCAATGGAAAGTGACTGTTTCCCTAGATTTAGATCTACGAAGATATACACCAGACACTCTTACAAAGCTAGTTGCCCATTACACTATTCCTGGGCCATGCAGTACCATACGAACAATTCACGCGTTGTTGTGACAGTACCAAATAAGTGTTCTACTAACAGAAATGTTTATGGAGAAGACATGTCATTTTGACCACTGGTATTTAAAAGTTTCAGGACATTTACTTTGTGTTCTCTCATAATACAAAGCCAACACGGCAATTCATGGAATTTTTCCCCCGTTAGCTGAATGTACAGCTCGATATATTCAAACTAGAACACACTTGTTTTGCTTGCACATACTAGTGACTATGCACAACAAAGAAAAGCAGATACTGCATATAGGCCAAATGATGGCAATGAATGGGACAGGTGCTTACCAAAGGCTGTCAAGATCTGAATGCATACATTAAAACAGAAAGTGAAATGTAAAAGTTTGAAAAAATGCAAAAAAATTAAAGTTCATAGGAGCGAGGAAGGATTCAATCAAACATACATGGATATCATGAACAATTGCTGGTAGCAGTTCTTACAGTCATAAGCGTTTACGAAACAGGACGTGACCCTATGCGTCAGTTCAGCGTCACATATAGATTCAGCCTTTCTGGTTATTTACTCAACATCCTGATGCTAAAAAGGTTTCATTCAGTTATAATTAAAATGAGAATATGTATCCATGGGTATTGGGATTACAGCACAGGGGCTTACCAATGAGATGCGGTTATAACAACTTTAAAAAAAAAAAAGTTGTATGCATATATGGTCATCCTATGTAAGTTACTCAAATTTCAATAGCTATTTTTGAAAGAGCCAGGTTTGCATGGTTACTTGGAGAAGGTGGGTTTCATCCTACCACCACTGTGCACCCAGAACTCCTCTAAAAAAATGCATGGAAGCTGTGAGCGAAATCCGTGGGAGGATGAGGCCTAATGGTTTGAAGGCAGTCATGTCTGTAGGAGCGACTATGGTACTCAGACAGCACAAGCACTTTTAAATTGTTTTCATGGCACTTTGGAAGAAGCTTCATGTAACGGCACTAACACAATATTTCATCGTGTGACTTCGTAATCTCAAGTTACTTTTGTGCTGCTAAAGCAACCATGACTTACATGTTACTACATCATAAGACACAACAAGACATGTTACACAGATTTATGCATATATATAATTATATAGAAACACACAAACACACTCAACAGGGGGATTTTTGATTTTTTTTTTCAGGGGGAAGGGGTTAGGGGGTTTACCTTTCCATTATCTTCTAATGATGAATTTTGAAAAAGAAAGTAAACTCCGAAGAAAAACACAAGTCCTTCAAAGGCGCCCAGAAAGGTCCAGTAAAAGAAGGGCTTCCATTGTAACATGGCATTATCAGAAATTTTCCTGTGAAGCAGAGGAACAGGAGAATCACTTTCCCTTTCAGAGCTGGATGCAAAGCCCATGGACGCCAATGAGACTCCTGCTCAGTGCAGCGGACTCTGGTCCAAGGCTCTAATTTTGGTGTTCAGGTTTGTGCATTAAAAAGTGAAAAGTAGTTCACTATATAGAGAGACCCCAAACTACATTAAAATATGGAAAACTGTTGATTAGAAGGGGTCATAAATGGGTCAAGCATATTACTGTGGTAGCCTCTCAGGTTTGGACAAGGAGCCTCAAATCCTGACTCAGTCCAAACGGAAGGAGAATCGCTATGTTATTACCCAGTTCTGTGCCACAAAAGCACTGTGCAACTTAACACGGGTTAAGGTTTGTGGCAGCTGAAGTCTAAAACAGGACAGTAAGAAAGGAGCAAGCGATGTGGCACTACCCTTGCTAGAGCCTCCCTCTCTCGCCATTCCCTCTCTGTGCTCTGCTCCTTTCCAACACATCTCTTTCAAAGGGTAAATTTCTACAAGTCCACAATTATTTGTCGTAGATGTTTTGAAGCTGGCACGTCTCCTTTGTTAAGGGAAAGACCTCTGAATTGTATGCAGGGGGTACCGGACCCCAAGGCTCTGCTGAGCTGGTTCGTTGGTGAAAGGAGGTAGTAAATTAACTTGCTGTGGGCTCTGGAATGCTTTCACATAAGGGATCCTTTGCCCTCGGCAAGGCTGTCCTTGTATGAATGGGCTCCCTCTCGTGGACTGCAGCAGTGACAATAGCCATGTCTCGGAAAGTGCAAGACCTCGGCTGTTTTTCCTTGCCCTTTAGCAGCAGACCCAAGAAATACGCTCTGAAACCAGACAAAGGGAGGGATTCCAAACCCCAAAGAAAAATGCAAACACCCTCAGCTTTGAGACGAATTTACAAATGTAATGCAGTGCCTAGATATAGTGTCCAGGAAAGACGCGTTTAAAACCAATAGCATCATGCCTTTCCGAGAGAAGTTTCCACGGATCTATATCATTCAGCATTCTCCATGGCTGGCATTTTGGGGGTGAGCAGGAGACAGGCTTTACAATGAGAAACACCACCACTGATTTCCCTTCCATTAAAACCAAAAAATGCATGGCGGCAATTTCCAGCAGGCTGCATCTTGCAAACAGCTGCAGCATGGGGTCTCTTATAATTATAGTTTATAATGCAAAGGCTTGCTGACATTCAAAAAATTACGACGTTACAAAGCTCTCACCCAAAAGGGAAACGGTGTACTGTCATTTTGATTTGCAGGGAAAGGTTGTATAAGGAAAATCAGATCTTGCAGGCGCTGGGTCAGGGCAATCATAAGAACTTCTTTACCCCAAATTCTCCTCTGTATTTGCATTTTATGTCCTGCAGCACTTTTCATGAGCAAGATTTGACAGTGGCTCACGACTATAGAGATCTGCACTGCAGCAACTCAGCAATTTACACAGCAGCAGCACAGCAGCCACTTTGCATTCAGCAACACATGTAAGGTCGTGAATATTAAAGTTAGAGCCTGTTTAACTGAACAATTAATCTGCTTTTTTTTTCCCCCGGTTTGCATGTGCTAGCATTCATACTACTCATTACCCTGTCAGGGTGACTGCATTTGCTATACACTATCCCACTATAACTAGCATCTAAAAATAATGCAGTGGTATTTTGTTAGAGATGAAGATGCCTGAGCACCTCTTATTAAAGCAAGAAAAGCCCCTGCTTTGTTACGTATGCTAACTCATTGAGATGCAGGCAGATGACACTTTACAATGTGGGGGGGAAACCTCTTTGGCAGGCATGCCACAAAATAAGCCCCTGACTATGGCTGAGCTCACTTTTCTAATACTTGTGCAAATGTGTTCACTGCTCCCCCACCCGTCACATCTTTCTCCAACCCTGACAATGAAAAGGTGAGTCTGCCAATGTAATGACCAAAAGTACAATTTTGATGTGCCCAAGACCCATTTTCCAAAGGAGCTTAAACACCCTAATCCAATTTGAAAAGGGGTTTGAGAGCCCCTAGATCAGTGGTTATCAACCTTTTTTCATTTGTGGAACCCCTTGGAAATTTCGAATGGAAATGCATATGCCTTTGAATTGTAAGTGAAGGTATTCACATACTTTTAACAGATCACAGTCATCTTTTGTGGACCCATTAGACACAGTCTGCAGACCCCCAAGGGTCTACGGACTACAGGTTGAAAACCACTGCCCTAGATCAACTAGAGAAGTTGGGGGTTTTGTTCATTTAATGTTCCTTCCATGCATGTTTGCTGACTGCAAATGCCTCAAAAATAGTACTTAATTTACATTTTTTTGTAATGATTTTCACTTGGATTAGAAGGAGGTTCGCTTTACAGCTGAGTGGCCCGAACACTGATCTGGGACCCAGGAGAGCTGGGTTGGATTCTGAGCCTGGCCTGATTTGTCTCTTCCCAGAAGTTAGTTCACTTGCCTGTGCCCAATTTTCTCTATACACAAAATGGGAATAATGACATTCATTTTGAAGGGCTTTGAAAAGGAGACCAACTGATGGAAAGTTCCGTTTTACAGTCCCGTCCAGTAACTAGACATAGGCAATGGGATGTGCAAGTAGTACTCTAGTTCCCAGGCATAACTCCACTTAACACAGACATGAGGGAGCAAGTAGTGAAACAACGCTGCAAGAATACCTGCCTCACCCTTGTGAAGTTGAGAGAGCAGCTGATCAGCAACACTGAACATCACCAAATAAATCCTAGTAACAACCCTTAAGACCTGCTGGAAAGCTAAAGGTTGGGCTGTGTGGAGACCATGCAGGATTCAGTGGTACTTACATATACAGTTGTGGATCTGAGGTCAGAGTTTCAATGTTGATATGCTGCTCCAGCAGGCTGTAGGCCAGGATCGGTAGTGATGTGAAGCAGATATTGTACATCGTAAGGTAAGCAGCATCGTAGAGAGGCTTAAAAGACCGGAATGGGGAAATTATAAAAAGTGAGTTCAGATGGTGAAACCTGTCCTTCCTCAAAAAAAATCCCAATTGTTGTTCGCTGCATACATAGCCCACATCATATTTTTGTCAGGGCACAGAGGGGAGCAATATGATCCGATGGAGTGGATGAGTTAAAGACAGGTGGCATTTACCTGTAAGCCTGTGCTTATTTCTAAATAATTGGAGGAGGAGAAGAAGGTGATTAGGAATGGTCAGTATGAATTCACCAAGGGCAAGTTATGCCTGACCAACCTGATTGCCTTCTATGGCATGACTGGCTCTGTGGATGCGAGGAGACCAGTGGATGTGATACACCTTGATTTGAGCAAGGCTTTTGAGATGATCTCCCACAGCATTCTTGCAGGCAAGCTAAAGAAGTATGGGCTGGATGAATGGACTGTAAGGTGGACAGAAAACTGGCTGAAGCATTGGGCTCAGCGGGTAGTAATCAATGGCTTGATGTCTAGTTGGCAACTGGTATCAAGTGGAGTGCCCCAGCGGTTGGTTCTGGGGCTGGTTTTGTTCAATATCTTCATTAATGACCTGGTATATGGCACAGAGTGAAGCCTCAGCAAGTTTGCACATGACACCAAGCTGGGGGCAGTAGTAATAGGGCTTGGTTTTCATAGATACCGAAACAAATTGGAGGATTGGGCCAAAAGAAATTTCATGAAGTTCAGCAAGGACAAGTACCAAGTCCTGCAGTTAGGGCGGAATAATCCCATGCACTGGTGCAGGCAGGGGGTGACTGGCTGGGCAGCAGCTCTGCAGAAAAGGACCTGGGGGTGACAGTGGACAATAAGCTGAACAGGAGCCAGCAGTGTGCACTTGTTGCCAAGAAGGCTAATGGCATCCTGGGCTGCACTGGTAGAAGCACTGCCAGCAGATAGAGGGAAGTGGTTATTCCTCTCTATTCAGTACTGGTGAGGCCACATCAGGAGTGCTGGGTCCAGTTTTGGTCCCCCACTACT